AAGCCTGTTAATCAACCATCTACAAAGATTACCGACAATAAATTAACACTACCTGATAATCAATTCACAGCAGAATCATTTAGGCTTGTGCAAGGCTGAGGGTGAAGCCCCACACTGCATGAACTTTCACAGGGTTTTGTCTTTTGGAAACAATACAGGGAGCAACAGAATATTGTAAAACGGCAAGGTTAAAGTACTAAAAGAACGAGATTCTCAAGAAAGATAAATGCATAAGATTTTTAAAAGACATTTCTGTTGGAAACCAACTGTGTGATTAATCTTACTTAGAATCTGAGGATAACTCCTCTACACAGGCAGATCAACCTGGCAGTCTGACCCATTTAAATTGGCTTTTGTCAGCTATAACAGAGTTGGCCATTCAGATTGAGTTATAGTTCAACAAGTTGCTCAAATTCTAATTTTCGTAAGGTATAACTGACCCATGAAACTTGAGTTAAAGGTCAAATTATTATAGAAATACAAATCAGCTAAATATAAGCTAGCAAAGATGAATGGTTAAAAAGCACTATTTTTATTTGTCTTACTTTTGATATAATTGTAGCTGTTATTAATGGCTATTAATTCTGTAAGAGCGAAGTGTCAGAAGAATACTGTTTCACATCAGATGCCTAACATTTTGACCCTCGGAAGGCAGACTGGTAAATGTTTTGTTTATCACTAACTGGGGTGAAGTTCCTTGCGCAAGGGTACAACAGCAGTGTCTCACCTGTCTCACAGATTGAAGTATAGCATTTGTATGCAACTATTCACATGAAAAAATAAAATTTAAAAGGGGCAGCTGTGATACTCAGTTGCTGGGTTTGGCACATGGCTAGTATAACACATTTCCTCCTGGCATGGTTCAGTCAGTTTGGGTGAGAGGAACTGCGCGTCCAAGATAAACCAAAGTCAAACACACCATCCAGCCAGCCACCCGCCAGACCGATCTCCTTGGATACCTGAATGAAGCTGATGAAAAGAAGAATATGAGGCCAGTCAGAGAATACACCTCATTTCACAACGGGAGCTGCCCAGAGAGTTAGAATTAAGATTCCCATAGTGTAGCAGCTTGAGTTTAAATGTTACAATATTTACAAGCTGCAGGCTTTTAAACATATTTACCAATGAAGCGGAAAATCTCAGGCAAGCCTAGAAATATACCAGTGAAAAGATAACTAGTATTAAATTTCCCTTCCTTGTTCTGGATCGTCTTTCAGAGCCACAGCTTGTAAAACCCAACATGACGAACACACTTCTGCCACTCTGCACCACGGGTACGATGAGTGTAGGAGTTTTGATGTCCGTTTCCTATGCTGAACTGCACGCCTGTAACCCTTACAAGCTAGATGCTGCTTGTCTCCTTGGTTGTGCCTCAGGCCAGCCTCTGGCAAAGACCACCTCAGAAATCGACACGTGGGCATTTCTACACCCAAGTCTAAACACATGACTAGACTAATACGCAGAAGAAAAGACTGGATGTAATCTGCACAGTTTGGACAAGTGCAGGCTAGCAGAATCCTACAAAAGGCCATAAAAATTTGCCTTATCATCATAAAACAAAAGAAAGACCATCAATATCTTCAGACCACCAACAAGATAGAGACTACAGAGTAGCATATGTTCATGTGTATGACAGCCAACAAGTGTGGTTCTTCGCCTTTTGGAAATGAAATTTTAAAAAAATAATAATGGCGGCTTTCAAGAAGCCCTCATATACAGGATCATGTCTGTTAATCATTGCTTTATCCTAGAAAAAAACAATGCACTAAGTACTTAATCACCACACAAAATAAGATCCATCACAACTACAACGTTTTAAAAAAAAAATTGTCAAAACAGCAGAAGGTGTGTCACAGAACAATATATTCTAAAGAGGTTAGGTTGTTTTTATCTCCCACTTTCTCTGGGAAAAGATGAATTTCTTGTCTTTTCTCCCTCTTGTTCATAGCGTCTACTGCTGGAGCTCTGAAGCACAAAGACATACTCAAGAAATCCAGGCAGAAACCAGTACCACCCAGAATACATCAGAATGCATCAACCAGTCAGCAGTCTAGAGCAGAATCTTGAACTCTAGTCTACGATAGCTAAAAATATAAATCAAAGCCCAAGCAACAGTGACCATCAATATGCAAACTGTAAGGAATCTCATTCTCAGTGAATGACAAAATGTAAGAAAATGAAAATGGAGGAGTCTCACATCACATAAACAGACTCCCTAAATATTTAGGCAATGGGTAGTTGAGGAGTATAAGAAAGACTCTCATCACCTTACCCAGCCAGTCCAATCCCCAGATCTCAATCCTGTTGAAAACCGGTAGAACTGATCAAATGTACAATTCAATCCCACACATCATTACCTCAACTACAACATCAATTGAAAGCAGTTCCACAAGAAAAATGGGGCTGGGCAGCAAATAATTCCCAAGCCTCTGAAGTATATGCCACATATTAATCAAACAGTTCTGAATGCCTGCAGAAGCCCAGCCCAGTATTTGGAAGGGAGCTCCTAGAATATTGAGAGGTATTACCAATCCAGGAAATGCTTATCTGTTGTGTTTAAAATACCTCTCAGTATATTTTGGCTAGTGAGTGTACATTACAATATTGGGGAAATCTAGAACCCTAACTTGTGTAAAGTCTACATTAAGTATGAATGAACAAGTAACCCAGCAAGGCAGAAGTGAGGAAAGGGATGTGGATTGCAGCAAACAGCAATGTACTAAAGCAGAGATGCTTGAAGGCCTACCTGTAGAACAGCACATCTTAATAACCAATACAGCTCTTCAATATCAGCTTAGTATTCCTAATCATCTGCTTTGTTTATGAGTGCCAAACTGTTAAAAAAGCAACAGTCCATTAGGTTTCATTAAATATTTTTGTAGAGGAAGATACAGGCGCAGTTCACAACCAGATTTGACTAACATAATAGTGGAACCTAACGGTGGAAGTGGAAATCGACTCTAAACATGAATCAACATGGATGCTCATTAAACTACTAAATGACTGTATGGCTTTGTTCTCCATTTGATCAACTTCTGAGTGCAGCTCTGCTGAGACAAAGAGGGAGGGACTAGGACAATGAGAAGGTCAGATCCATCAACTGAACATTTAAGAGCTTCAGCTTTTACAAAAATACTACATGCACTTGGACAATACTATCCAAACAGTTTTATAATACAAATAGCGCTGTTTATCCCAAGAGATCCTACAGTGCTTTAACATGCAGGAGGGCACCCAGTTCATCCACCACTCAGAAGCAGTCCCATCAGGGTGACGTGTGGCAGTCATCACCTCCAGCAGCTTCACCGCATAGCAGATCAGGTGACGTGAGAAATTACTTTGCAAATTCAATTAAGGGTGAAATTTAAGGAGGGAAGATTGTTTGAGCTCCAAGTGGAATTCAGCCGGAATAGGTATTACGCACCCCTACTCATTATTTGTGAGGATTAGACAGCACTGTCATTTAACTGGAACACTGAGATTAATATCCCTGCTCTTAAGAATCCATCCATGGGACTGTTAGTGACCAAAGTAGTCGAGACCTTTCGTCTAGTGTGGTCCCCAGCCACCACTGGAGCAATGGTTTTGGAAATTCTAGCCCAGAGGGAAGACTACCACATACTGGTCCACCAAACATAATTAGAGGTTTCATTAGTGGTGTTTCTACCCAAATACTGACCAGCCCCAGTCTTGCTTAGCTTCTGAGATCTGACAAGATCGTGACAGAAGGTCATAAAGCTGCCCTCCATGGGAATACACTCCTAACTGGGGCATCTTAAGACATTTTTTCAGGTATAGATCAATGAGATGACCAGCCACCAGTGTTTAAATCAGGCTTTCTCATTGTTGTATGTTTAAATTGGATTGAGTTTATTTGACCATTGATCCACCCATCCATTTTCGAACCACTTCATCCTATTCAGGGTCACAGGGGAGCAGGAACCTATCCCAGCAAGCAAGGAGCACAAGACAGGAAACACCCTGGACTGGCAGCAGTCCATTACAGGGCACACATACAGACACAAACAATATGTTCCTGGTGGAATGAGATTTATATTCAGAGAGAGAAATGGTGTTTTTAGGTCGCCATCAATGACCCAAGAATGTCTATGGGTTTTTGTATGGCCCTGTAAATAGTAACAGTAGGGTGACTTCACAGAACCGAGCTGCCAACAGGAAAAAATGAAGTCAGGCTGACAAAGGAATCAAAATCCCTCCAGAGCATGCAAAAAATACCTTTCCCCAAAAAGACATGTAAAGATTTTATGAAGATTTACATATAGTAGAGTGTGCAGAGTAAACTGTAGTAAAAACGTGGTTTGGTCCTTAACCTTGAAAATCAATACTAATAAAGGTGGTTGTGACACTTCTCACTGCTGAAATGCCGCACGGCGGCAGTGAACTGAACACCCCCAAAATGAGAATAAACGGCCTTAACTTGTAGTTGTGCATTAAGGTAATGCTTGTTTTAGCAAACATACTGTCAAAACTTCGAAACGTGGTACATTTCGCCTCTCACCTTCCACCCAAGATGTATTCTCATGCAAAAAGTAAGCCAAGCTGCGCCTGTCTTAGCGAACCCACCAAGGGGCATTTCCGTCAACGACAAATCCCACCATACCTTAACCGCTCTGGCAAACGGATTTTCAGCTGTTCAACACTTTTGCTTTGAACATTTTTTTAAAACCCCCACTTATGCTCTATTCCTTCCCCAGCTGAAAACTACTCTACTACTGTGCATTTCCAACGAGAAGATAACTATATAATCGCATATATTTGTTAAAAAGCAAGGAAACCCTGAAATGCGTTTTTGACAGCTGTTGATATAGTAACTCGGGCCTTTTCCACACCATTGTGCCAGCACTTCGCTGTTTGGAAGTCGCTGCTGTGGTTTTCCAGTTCGTGAAGTAATTCCCGGCTTGGAGAAAAAAGGAAGAACATCCTATAACCCTGTAAAAATTACGTTTTGCTAATGCCCCTTTCTTTCTTATTTCCCTTACCTTGCTCCAAATCATGCTGATCATACCACGGCTCCTCTTCCTCGGTTTCAAACTCCTCCATTCTGCCCGAGCTCAGCATCAGGACCTCCCACGCCACACCAACACGCCTGCCAGTCCAGATTAAGCCTCTGCCCCTAGTTTGAGGAAGCGAAGCGTGTTTCAGTGAGCGAAACCGCAAAGGTTATGTCCCTTTCCGGAAGCCAGATCCCTCAGCGGAAAGGTAACAAATTACAAATATCCTGGATTGCTGAAAACCTACAGCGGTGTACCGAGAAGCCCAAATCACGTATTATGGAGAACAAAGGGAGCAGTACAGCGACGAGACAATTCCAGACAAAATCGACACTCCTCCGTCGAAAACAGCGCTGAAACAAGAAGAAAACACAGTGTGTCTTTAAATTAACACCTTCGCGCAAAGAACAGTTCTACGCACTAATAACGCAAAGGCCGTAAACGCGCTGATATCAACTTCGTGAGCTGCGTTGTCCAAGAAGTGCCCTCCGTCTGTATACAGCACGTATGCAACAACAGGGCGCTGGGATCGCCGGACACAGGGCAGCTGTGGAAAGCGGGGTCGCTGTTTGCCGAGCCGGAGATGCTAATGCACAGATGAAGTTAAATATGCGCCTAACTGCCACTGCAAGGCCGTGCCTAGCTCCGATCTCTCTTCTCTGCACATTCCTTTCTTTTGTTGTGCTTCAGTCAAGCTCTCTTCCAACATACGGACGTGGCAGCTGCAGTATCCCCTCCCTCGCCTCACACACAGCCTCACCGGGAACCATTCAGAATCAGGATTGCGGATGGAAGCTGATGTACAGCGATTCGCTGGAAGCGGAGACGAAATATTAAAATCTCGCGGTCATCATTTCTGCGCGCTGGTCTCGAGTGAGAGGAGACGTCCTACATCCCTGTGCAAACTAGTAACCGTAGTTTACAGCTAGACAAATACATAATAGGAACAGACGATAAACAAGGGATCAGGGATCTTTTCCGACAAAATAAATTAACCAGAATTCCCAAACCTGCCAGAATCATAACAGCGTTGTATGGAGGCCCGTTTCCGCCAGGGAGTAAAAAAAAAACGCGCTATGGCATCTCGCAATTGCGACTTTATATGTCAGAATTTCGACTTTATACCTAACGATTGCGACTTCAAAACTTAGAATTACGACTTAAAAACTCAATATGACTTTCAAACCTGTACTTTTAGTAGAACATAAGAAACATAAGAGGTTAGTAGTCCATTTGGCCCTTTAAACTCATTTGGCTGCCAGCGGGTTATTGATCAAAGGTTCTCACCCAGCTGAGCTGCTTCTTGAAGTTGGCCAGGGCATTGGCTTCAACAGTGTTGCCGAATAGCTCAATCCAGACCCCCATAATCCATAATGCTTTGTGTGAAGAACATCAAAGGCTACCCCCAGCTACACACCAAGGACAGAATAAAATAAAATTAAAAGTACATAAAGGCAATAAGAGATGTAAAAGACATAATTTTGCTCACCAAAATACTGGGACTTCTGTGAGTAGGGAGCACAGCAGGAACAGAAACATTACAAGCTCAACTCGATGCTGTTCCTCTAGCAAGGTGATATTCACTCGAGTGTGTGATGAAGGAAATAATAGTGTGCAAAAAAATGTGCCCTGCTGGCTCCACGGGGTTACAGTAGGATTGAGATCTGGGGAGTTTTCTGGACAGGGAAGGTGATGAAACTGTCTCATGCTTCCACAACCAACTGCTCATTGCATACTATTAAAAGAGTCCATTCATTTTACTCAAGCTGCTTAAGATTCTGGCCAGCGAGTTTTAAAATCTTTATTATTTGCTTTCTTTCGTTCTTTGCACAAACCTCCACAGCTAATCAGTCTGATAGACATTTTCTATCTGGATGAAAGGAAACTCAAAGGAGACGTAGCCCTCCGCAAATCCAATTGACAACCTAGAGCTAATGACAGAGCACTCAAATATATTTAAATATTTTAGTAATTGCAAAACCTAGTTTTAAATAATCAGCCAAAATGCAAGGAAAAAGGTCTTAGGTATTATGTCTATTGACACAAGGACACTGAATGCACATGACTTCCCATCTTTACCTATACATCAAATTATTCATTCTGACCAAAAGTAAATAGTACATAAAGAATTATTTTGAAATCAAAATTTAAAATGAGTTCATTTTTCTATTTTACTTCAGTATGTAAACCAATGAAATTCTGTACTGTTTGTTAAACAGGTTTTCTGAAGTAGTGGTGGTAGCTGAGTATATCCAGTTTTGTTGTCTTTTTGTCCAAAAATGTTTTGTATGTGGGTGACTTAGCTCCTGACAATTTGACACTCTTATGCTCTTCCACATAATTGAGCTTGTTTAATAAATAGAACAATTCCACCTTGTGACTATTCATAGATATTACATGTCCAAAACAGTACAGAGCTGATATAGAAATCAATCCCCTGATTACAAAGTCACTTATTCTACTGAGGGTGAGGGTCTTGGCAGGCTGGAGTCTCTCCAAAAGCACAGGGTGCACAGCAGAACTGAAAAATGTCTGAAAATAAAGAGGAATTAATAAATCAAAGGTGCTTTTAGGATTTTGGGTTTCCTGGTCCTGCTGCAAGCTCAAGGTTTTTAATTTCTGTTTCCCGTGAACACTTGAACACCAAAAAAGTCTTAAAGCAAGTCCACACAGTAGATTTCTTTCTACAGTACCCTTTTAACAGCGCTCTAGTTCAAGACTTAATGGTTTAAGTCTGTACAAAACTGCATGTTATGGTTACAATCGTGAATGTCTCTGAATCGGGGTTAGACCAACATTCAATAAATTAGTCCTGCAGAAAAGCCTGCTTATGGATTTCATAAGAAATAGGATATCCCTCACCAACCATCTTCTCTGTCAATCAGCACATGAAGTCTGACAAGCCTACCATTTCTCATCTGTACTTGAAAAAATAAGTTAAATAAAAGTGATTTATACTTACTTATTTACAAGATCAGCTTTAAAATTAATACTTTCTTATAAAAGGAACTGTTCATGACCAACATCCTTTGTTGTACAAACCAATATATATATAATGTACATTTTCATGTGAAGTTTTACCCAAGATTTCATAAACTGTGAGAAAATGTGTTCAGATCACACAAGTCTTTTTTAAAAACAATATCCACAAAAGACACAGCAGTAGAATGAAGGACGGGGTGTTAAAATCCTTAAAAGAGGTTGGTAAAGACTATGATATTAATTCAATGTACTAAAAAAAAAACAAGTGCAGTGTAAAAGCTGATAGTCAGATCTTTTGTTTTCCAAAAGATAGCCAGATCATAATAAAAACAGGTACCATTTCATCCTGGGCAATATCACTCTGAAACATTGTTCCAGTTATATATATCAGATCTGAACGTCAGTGTGTCTGGGGAATTTCTGTCTAGCAATAATGCATTAATCTAAACCTACCCGTAGACAGTCAACAACCCGTTTCAATTAATTCAGTGACATTTTTTTAAAGTGTATTTACCTTTTCTCAAAACCCAGACAGTTTTTGTCTTAGCTTGGATAATACCTGCTTCAAGTTTCAATCATTTACTCAGTGTTGGGAACTGACACCGTGTTTATCTGTAAACTGAGCACGGTCTTAAGAATGTGGCTTGATTACAACATGGGCTGCTTTAATATAAAATATTCTAACATGAAGTAATAATTTCTACCAGTGTCATTAAGTTTTTATGTTTGTGAATAAATATATCTTCCAAACGTATAAAACATTCCCCAAAATAAGTGATGCTTGATCAGCTGTACACACATCAGAACACAACAACTTCCATCTGCACAAAGTGAACAAACTAAAATATTAAACACTCAGCTTTGAACTGTGTTAATTTATTTTCATTTTACAGGCAACATTGCAAACAGACCTGTCTGGTTTTAGAAGTGTCAGGTTATTGTAGGACAAGCAACAGTTCTTAAACTTGAAATATAGCCTTTTTGGGTATAAAAGAATGGAGCTTAATGATATCCAATTAATCTTTACATGCCAAATACATTCTCCACTATAAGCACTGTAAACAAGTTTGAGGAAAACACTAACCTTTTTAGCTGTTTAAAATCTAAGCCCATTAATTTTAACATAACAGAAAAAGTCACTGGCTTTACCAGTTCATCAGTTATTCCATGCATTTTCACTTTATATATCTTCCAAAAGTTATTTAACACACAAAAGAAAACCTAACTGCCAATTTAGTAATCCATAAACATGACCTACAAAATAAGGTTGACCTCTGTGCACCATTGCTGCTGTAATGCAGGGCTGCCCAGTCTCGAGTACTGGGGGGTTGCATTCCAGCAGCTTTTATAGGACTCTTTAAAACCAGAACATCTTGGGAACAGGGAAATACTGTTGAACTGGTCCAATTTAGTTAATCATCAATTGAGCTAGCAGGTTAATAGTCAAATTATCAAGAAATCTGCAAATTCAACACCCTCCATTAGCAGTAAAAGATACACCTGCTGTAGTGCACTTAAAGGAAGATCACACAATTTGGTATGGTTTGACATTTTACCGGTGGGGGGAGTCATGGTCATCAAGCTCACCCAAACAGCCCCCTGGTATGGCTAATGATATTCACTTCTTTAGTATTGTCTATCCAGGAGAGGATATTGTTAGGATACAGCAGGAAAAGCTTATTGAAAATGGGAGAGAGAAACCCCAATGTTTTAAAGTGCTTTACTGGACTGGAGTATTAACTCTTTCAATACTGCAAGCCCATGAAATTATATTCCATGCACAGTCCTCTGTGGCTATGAATAACATAATAACAGCAGGTCTTTCTAAGTGGTTTAAAAAGGAGACATCTAAGAGAATGCACTTGGCAAGTACTGGCTCATCCTTGACAGTGTAATAAAAGCCACTGTGAAAACTAGGCTCAGCGCAGGTTGATAACAAATGGATCAAATTCAAGAATTTTCATTCTACACATGCAGGCTGCCACTGAAAATTGTGGATCATTCCATTAGGTTCATTTTAAGATACAATTCTATATATCAAATCAGGGATTTAGAAGCATGTCTTATAATTTTCGGCCTCCTGAATAAGTTATAGGTTAGCATGAGCATATTTCATAGTGAAAGAGTTAAGACTAAACTTGCTGCAGTGGTGCTTACAGTCAGTGTGCACCATTGCAGGACCCTGAGTTTGTGGGCAATCCCCTGCCCTGCGCGACTGATGACCAGCGTGAAGCCCTGCTGTGTCGAGTCACGTCCTGAGCTATGGTCAATGGTGGCTGTCCCTGCAGGGCTGTGGTGTCACCCTGTGCCCTCTGTCCTCCCCGCTGGCCCTCTTCTCACGTGCCAGGGCTCTGCAGGTGACTCCAGTCTGCCTCGCTCTCACAGCGCTGGACTGTCTTGAAGAACCTGCTGATCAGACGCCTCGCTTCTTCTTTCACTGCAAACCAAAGAAGAGTAGTTTCTGTCACCTTCCCGTGTGGGAGACTCACTCAAGGCTGTTGGCATAATGAAGCATCGTGCTTTCTGGTGTGACAGATGCCCGTATAATCTCAGTTAGCACAATGCTGCGTGCCTGACCAGTTTTAACTAGGTGGATCACGAAGTGGCTACCCACATGAGCTGCCTTCGCACAGATACGTGGCAGATATGTTTCTTATTTTAACGTGTTAAAACATGTCACTGCTTGGCACCTTAGAAAGGGAGTTCTTCAAGTTCTAAAACATCACATGTGTGAGAAGATGTGACATGAAAGCCCACAGACATCACAGCTCTCCACAGTCAAGTGAAAAGTACTACTTTAATTGAAAACAGTTCTGCTCATCATTACTTTAAATCCATGAAAGTTCTACAAGTTTCCTTCAAATCTGTGAAAACTTTGTAATAAATGTATTACAAATTATTAAAATGAAGTGCTTATTAAAAAATTATATTTAAACATACTAATTTAATTGTGCATAATGCATGACACTTATGTTGAGCATTTACACTACCTTGACTTACTAAAGCACTCATAAAGACGTCTTAACCATGACATCTCACACACTTTAGATTAGGCTGCCAAAAAATAAAAAGAAGTACTACTGTTGTATTCTGTTATTTGAAAAAAAGTTTATGAATCAAATTTAGTTTTGTCTCATTGCCTGAAGGCTTATGTTCAAAAACAAAGCTAACAGACATTGACACTCTTACCATTCTTCTTCATTGGAGTCTTGCCTTCTGTCAGAAAGTGAGACAGGAATCGTGCAAATGCTTTGAACAGCTCCTGTAGGAAAAGACAAATTCATAGAATGCAAGACACAGATAACAGCTAATATTAAAAGAACATGAGTTGGTTATGAGATGCATAATTATTTAAAAATACATTTAAAATTGCTATTTTTTTTATAAACATGCACTGGGAGCAAGGGTCTTGGCTCCCAGCCCGTTTCCACACTGTGATCCTCACAGTAACCCCACTCAGCAATCACTGACTGCAAGAGTACTGCAGTGCCATCAATAAGGTTACACCATCATCAGTGACCAGCAAGGGTACAGTCAGCAGTGCAGAATGGACTCGACTCCAGCACACCCAATCCCGATGGCACCAGGGAACTCCCACAGCTGGAAATCCTGGTCACAGGTCGCCAATGTCATACTTTAGGATTTGTAAGGGATCCCAAAACAGGCTTAGAATAGTTTTTTTTTATTAAGTTTTAAATAAAAGTAAAAATTGCATTTTCTTTTGCGTAGGATGTTAATGTGCGCAGGTCCATTGGGAACACAAAGAAATGGACTGCTTTAGTATCTGCCCCTGTATATACAAAATGACCTTATTATTAACACAGTCTTCTAAGACTGGAGTCACTACCGTGACTCTCGATGTACTGTGCTGTACTGTGCTGTCTGTCGCCAGTTGCCGTTACACTTCTCTTACCTTGGAGGCAAATTTGCCATCTTTGTAGAAGGGGGTCAGATATTTCACCACGATTTCAGCTGCCTCCTTGAGGGAGACCACAGGCTGTGGGGCCTGAGGCCCCCTCTCCTTTTGGACTATGTTAGGATCAAAGGTAACCTTCTTCTTCAGGAGAGAGACCTTTGATTCTGGCTGGCCTGGGTCAGAGGGCAGTTCATCGGCACGGGTCCGCTTCGATGCAGGATTCTCAGAGTCCAGGCTTTCCTTAAAAGAAGAACCTGGTTATTTCTCTTCAACTAGGTAACTCCTGAAGTGTTTTTCCCTCAAAATGGCAGACTAAATCAAACGAAATGAAAGGCGATGCCAGCACCATTAGTGCCATGTGTATGAGAAAAGACAATAAGTGAAAACAATAAACTTCTGCCACATTAAAATAAGAAGTCTTAGATAACCAACATTTCTACACCAGTACTTAGCTGAATGTCAAAATTGTAGAGTTTGAAACTTTTAAAGAATACAACTAAAAGTGGAAAGTTCTGAAACCCTTCACACGGTTAAAGTGTAATATTTGCTCCAATATTTGAGTAAAAACAGTAACAGTTTAAAAACAGATTATAATAAAATAAGTCCCATATAAAGTTTTAATTTGGATATACATGTAACAATACAGTGGTGGGTTTGGTTGGATAAGGTCTGAACATTCAAGCACATTTCTGAACACTGACTACCCCCACAAGACTGGTTCTCTGATACATGGGGTGATAAAGTCCAGGAAAGTGATGCCATTTCAGCATTCTAAAATGTTGTAAGAAGCAAGTGAAGTCCTCAAGTCCCACTGCTGAGAATATCCTGATCCAGTAGTCTGGACCTCTCATACACGGTCATACTGAAGTACAGTGTGGTGAGAAAATGAGATAACAAGACCTTGTTTCAGAGTGTTCATTTTGATATAGCCAGCCCACTTCTGTTAGGATCAGATCATGAAATTCATAACTGCACATGTGAAAATAAAAGAGTGCTTTGCATGGTGTTGAAAACCAGACCTCTCTAGTGAAGATTACCTTCTGTGAGCGGGACCTCTTCCCGGAGCTGACTGGGCTGCCTGTACTGTCCTCAGACTCTCTGTCAAGCAGATCACTATGTAGGACACATTACAGAAGAAGAAACAGGCTCATGTTCAGACAGCACTGGAAAAATGAGCAGATGAATTCAGAAAACCTAACTCTAGGTTACAAACTCTATAACATTCCACAACTATTTAAACAAAAAAAAATACCCATTACAATCACACATTTTTAAAATCAGGATCTGATGAAGATCCTAAAACATTGGAAAATGGATAATTTAATTTAGCATGGAGTGGGTTGGGGTGGGAGTTTTCCCATAGGTAAAATCTTAAACTTAAAAAATATATTTTATTGTTAAGATTAGAGTTTCCAAAAGACGAATTCCTAATGCAAGAAATTGTATTATTATTATTATTATTATTATTACAGCTAACCATTGCCGTTCACTGTCTATATGCAGGGACAGTGATGTGTATTCACCAGTTCTGTGTATTCAATCACACATTACCATTAATAGTACTAAATTCCTCCAAAATGAAAAACAATATCTTGGACAACAGGAAATACAGACAGAACTTTACATTACAGAAGCATGATGTATTCATAAAGCCTGTAAGCATCATGTAAACCAATTTTTTTTTGCAATGTACTTTAATCAGTTCCCTTAAACCAACTTTACTTTCTCTTTAGTTAAGCTGTTGCCCAATGAATAAAATTAACCGTTCTGTTTGAATCCTACACCAATAACGTACTTTAGTGCTTGTCAAGTAACAGACATACCCTGATGGCTCCTGTGCTTCAGGGCCTAAGCTGTTCTCAGCTTTACCAGCACTGTCTGTAGATGAGGAGGCATCTTCCCCATCCTCTCCCCGAGCCATGGTGCCAGGAGTCGTGGGAGATGGAGATGGGAATTGGTCCTCACAGCCACCCTTACAGTCCTGCCCATTCGGAAACTGTATTTGAGGAGGCTCCTCCTCCTCCTTGGGAGCGTTCTCCTTCTTCTTGAAGAACTGGGAGATTTTCCGTGAGTCCTTTGCCGCCTCTGACAGTTTCTGCTGCTTCTTGGACACCTTGCCCTTCTTGGAAGGGCTGCTCACAGCTGGTCTGTCCCATGGAGTTTTGGGCTGGGACACCTCCTGCCTCTCCCCTCCTTTCCTGCCAGACCTTGATGCTTCTTCACTTCCGGACTCTCCCTGAGTGTCCTCTGGACTACAGAGCGCCTGCAACGTACAAGCTGAGGACTCCTGGGCTGCTTTACCCTCCTCAGCGACGCTGGCTTTCTGGGAGGTTCTCAGCAGCTCTGCAGCACTCTGGAAGGGGTTCGAGGCCCCCCGCACCCCTGCCCCCACACGCTTGGACTTCATCTGCAGAAGGGACACGTGGTTGCAGCTTCAAACAAATGGCACACTGCATGATGCCCAGATGTTTCTAAACTTGAGAATTTCATGATCTGAGAATTATTATTAACCGCAATTATTTTTTAGAATTTCGAATTGCCAGAAGGCTTGGTTGTATCTACCAAGTTTGAAACAGCAGTTAGTGTGCTGTTGAACATCTTGGCTCGCAGGGCATTGACCCTTATTTCATGTGGCTATTACACAGTGTACAAGTACACCAAATTCCTTGCTCTTTGTTCCCTGAAGCAGAACTGCAAGGCACATAAACTGTTAAAAACAGAAGCATTTCACACAAGTAAATTGACTTTATAAAGGTCATGTTAAATTCCATTTTTTTCCCCCAAATATTTTAGGGAATGTATGGGATTTGTTTTCCACCATCTTCAGAAGGTTACTACAGCCAGAGTCTATCCACACGGTGGGATGTATAAATGGGACACCAGGTCATCACAGGCCCGTGGAGAAAGAGGCCCTTTACTACAGGCACTCAATCATAGCCAGCACATCTTTGCACACCAACAGGGAACAGGACCACAGGAGCACCTATCAAAAACCTATGCAAAAATGGGATGAACATGCCACCTCCACAACGGCAGCCACCCAAAACCAGTATCAAACCAAAGACAGTGGAGACAGAAGTGCTGACATACACCATGCCTCCTCTTACTATTAAGAGTTTAGTTAAATTAGGTATAATTATGTTGATAAGGTTAGACATGTATAGCTAATTATCATTAGTATCATTTAATCATGACTCCATGTCCTTTAATGTTATTTTAATTTGTGCTTAATAAGTGACTACATGTCTCCAAATATCAAGCAGCGTTTGTCCGTGAAACTTTTATAAAGAAAATGAATGAAACATGTCGATGGCTGATAATGTGGGTAAAGTGGGAGAGGGCATGAGTTTTACTCCAGTTTCACTGAAGAAGCATCAATCCCTTGCGATAAAGTGAGTCAGCCAGCGTACAGTCTTACTGAATAGAGCTGGGAGGCCGGCACAAAGTTCTCTGAAGCTGCCGCGGACTCTGGATCGTCTCTGGCTGTAGGGCGGTTTCTGTCACTCCCCTCGGCCAGGCCAACAGGGGCCTTTGTTTTCTCCCCTTTCTTGATCTCTGTCACCTGAAATGACAGCAGAGGTGAGCTCACTGCACCAACACATCATTCAAAATTACAGACTAACAAAGAGGTCGGGTACATAGAATGTTTCAGCACTATCCATTCCTGCCCATAGTATACCGCCCACCTTGCATTCAAAACAGTAGCTATTCCAGATCTCAGCAACAGCCTCACCTACCTTCTTCAGCATGGTCGCCTTGTACAGATTGGCAGATTTGCTCAGTCTGAAGACTTCATACTCCATGTCGATGGCTGATGACCGGGGGTCGGAGCTGGAGAAGAGGAAATGTGTATATAATTTATAAACCACTTTCACTGTATCTTGAGATGCGGTCTGAAACAAATAACAAAAAGGTTTGCACTGGTACTGAGTGCGAATGTGTCTTAGCATGCCAGTCTGATCTTTCTTGTACCCACTAATGAATGTGTGACAGAGTATTTGCCCGTTTATGTGTGGGTTCTATGTGCCATTGCTATGTGATGGGATGCTTGGGTTACTGAATATGGACCACTATATCTTGAGTGGTAAGTGTCTGCAAACATAGTTTTCTGACTGTTTTTGCTTGCCTTTGTATTTGTGTGTCTCTTTCTGATTGTCAGCAATCACTGAAGACGCACGGCCTGAACGAGCTCCTCATGTGAGTCACACCTTACCTGCTGCAGGCTGCCGCCCTCTGGTGGCTGCTCAGTGCCTCCTCCAGCATGGCCAGACAGTGTTCCCTTGCCTGAAACACACAAGAGGCTGGTGCTCAAACTCCCCTGCTTACACACTTAAACTTTGTAAGAAAGGTTATAATGAAAATGCCAGTGGATCTGTGCACTTCTCATAGCATACAGCCTTTTAACAGCTACTCAGCAGCAGATCGGGGACTTGAAGCCACATATCCATTAAGAAAAATCACATTTATGGTAATACCACTTGCCAGTATGCAAATATATTAGAATACTGCACTGCTCTGTTTTCTGTTTTTGCGTATGAAGCAAAACCTACTGCCATGAAAACAACTGTCTTCAGACCACACAATTAAAATAAACATGGAATTCACAGATCTATTTGTGAAAGTAAAAGACAAAAATGCTTAACTAGGCAATACAAAATGTCAACTCTATTGTTTAAAACTTTGATAGAGGCCACTTTTACACCAGAAGATGGAATCAAGTTTCAATATTAGTACTACAGTTCCGATGACAGGGCACAATTATGTATCAAAAGATGTTAATACCATCAAATATACTTTGAAGGAAGCTGACTGTTTTAAAACTCTCCATTATTTTCAAGTGAAATGTAACAGTGAAGATCAATGAATGACACATCTCAGAGTGTTGAAGTAATCCTGACTCAGCAGAGCAGGAGGTAGCATGGCAGCTGGAGCTGCCTTCTGTGACCAGTTTACAAGCTCTCCCCATGGCTGTGGGAGTTGGAACCAGGAGGCTTCCTCACACCTTCCTCTTCTTGTCCCACATTGATAACGCATCTTCTCAGGAACACTAGATCAGTCTACCTTTCATAGAGGACAACTGAAGTGTCCCTGTAGGTCTGGGTTGGTGCCCTGTGATGGACTGGTGTCATGTTCAAGTACAAGTTCTCAAGCTTGACTTATGGGATCAAAGTGACTCTTAAAACAAATGGTGTTCAATTAATATGAACTACCACTAGATGTCACTCTTCCCAATGTTTACAGCTGCCAATAATTTAAAGTGGCTAACATTAGTTTGACATTAGTAGATCAAAAATATATAAATCTAGAATCTGAACAGCTTCAATGATCAAGTATAAGAGTTCAAATCATGCTAATAACACACAGAAGGCACCCTAGGCCAGAATCGAACCCAGGACCTATGTGGCAGCAGCTCTAACCAGCATATCATCAGCTCTGTAAACTAATCTTAAAGAAAACTAAATGAAAATAAAAAACTGATAGATTTATCCTGCACATGTGTTTTGCATAATTATCTTCACAAAAATTAAAAAATTTAGTTATATCTGCATCTTCCAAGTGTGAGTAATATAACAGTGTAGAACACAGAAGGATTAATTTGAACAGACAAAACTTACCAAAAATCCATGTACACTATTTTACTGTTTTTGATTAAGAGTTCCTTTCTTTAATCAGTTTTAATTAAGTGCAATAGCTATCGTATTATTCTGGAAAAAAAATCAGAATACAGGTGAACCCTCCCTATAGTAGACCAATTCATAACTACAGAGAGAACACCGTGCACTACAATTACACAGTGATGTGAGCGAATGCAGGGCTGAATCCGTCACTGTGCTATGGCCTTACCTTCACTGTGAGCCGTGGGATTCTCTGGCAACTGGCTTCTCTCAGAGGGCAGTCTGGATCTGCAGGAGGAAACAGCGATTAGTCAGTCAGCACTTTAGAGCTTCGCCAACACACACAGCCAGCCCAGCCTTCCCCCTGCATTGGCCTGGTTTCTGGTACAGGTTAAGTGATTCAGTTCATATAAGTGTTCTCTCAAGAGCCTATGTTATACAACTGCCATCTGTACCTCCAGAATTCAGTCTTGAATATGAAATTCACCAACAGGATGCTTTAATGATCCTTTCAGTCCTTTAATTCATTGTCCTATATCCCCGGGGTGCAAAGATCATTATTTTAACATTTGCACCAGGCCCTGCATAGAGCCCAACTCACAGCTGCTATGTTCTGCTTAGACTGTGGCTCTTTTCTGCTTGGTGTTGGATTCCAATTCTCCATAACAATTTCTCCATAACAAGGCTGCTCATTTTTCCATGAAATGTGGAAAAAAGCAAATTATTTTAAGAGACAGATCATGGCTTCAACTATGAGAGAAATGAAGACCTGCAGATATTGTCCTCTAGAATGAGCCATTGCCCACCTGTCCCATAGTGTCTTAGAGGAGAGTGAGCACCAACCAGAGAAGCAAGTCAGCTCTTCTCTTACATACATCACTGCAAGCCCATAAGCATCTAAAAAGTCACAGGTGTTGTCTTTATGCTTTGAACTGTAAAGACCCTGCTGGATCAATGCCCACCCAACCCTAGAGTGCTCTGCCAGTTGTACTTCGCTGCTTGGCAAACCCCACTCGCTGTCAGCTAATGCCAGGATCCTGAGCTCAAACTAGCAACATCTGGTCTGCAGACTCTCAACCTGCACTATTAACAGGCGCTGGCTGAAGCACTCTGGAGCCAGAGGCTGCTTGTTACAAAGCAGGGCAGGTAACAATGGCTGGATTGTGCTAACATGAGTAGGGCACTGACCTGGAGGGGCAAAGACTTCTTTCGTCTCCTTATCCTGAAGAGGAGTGAAAGACAGAGTGAAAAAGACAAGTGAAAAGGACGCTACCAATTATTATTTTTTCAGTCATTAAAGATCAGGCTCTTTGTTGCCAGAGATATAAACTTCCTTGGTATCTCCTAAAGCATCATTAATAGCTAGTAGCTCATTAAGAGCTACTGAAATAAAACACCTAATAAATGTTTGTTTTTCTGGAGTCACATTTTGTTTTACCCAATAAACACCAGCTATTTAATTTATTAAGAAGTAAATTCCTTCAGCATGAAAAAAATGCACCGAGTAACATTTTACTTCAGAGCCCTTGCTGAAGTTAAAAAAGTAAAAAAAATAACTTTAAAGCATGACCAGTTTGAGTTTTTTTTGCGGTAGCTGATGTGCTAGGTATATATACCATGTGCTGATCCCTCACACCATTAAATGTGTAAAGCAGAATATAGGTCTGCAGTGTACCTACCACAGAAACCAATGAGGCAAGTCACTCATACTGCAAAACACCACCCGGTACTATTTTTTTATAGCCAATTTTTTAAAACAAGTGACAAGCCTTAATGCATATTAAGTGTACATTGTCTACATACAGGAAAGCAACATATTATTAGTGACGTTTGTTCCAACACAACCAAAAAACAACAATAAAGGCACAGCATAAAAAAGATTTTCAAGGTAAACAATACACATTAATACTACTAAGCAAATGGAGAAGTTCCAGTTAATATTTGAAGTTTTGTGACAGGTTAGGTTAGCCTGGGAGGCAGGGTGGCACTAGTTTGCTCACGCTGTGCACCAACCCAGTACTGACTACAGGGAGTGCAGAACCCATTTCAAGAGCTCAGCAAGAAAACTTGAGTACTGCCAACAAGAAAGTTAACCTGGAAAAATTTGCATGCCCAAACATGGAATTCAATTTTTGAATGACCCCAAAATAATTCTTCAAGGCAAAAGAGAGCTCCACAGGAAAAAAAAAATATTTTTAAATGTATTTATTTTTCATTAAGGAATAAAACTCTACTTGTTTGGCTTGCTTATGGCAAAGAGCTTGCCTGATCCGTGCCTGATGTCACCATCAGGATGCTGCACATATCATATAACCCCCCTGCCCCCTCTAGCTGTGTACCATATAGAACAACAGTGATATCTGAGATCTGTGACCCCCCCAAAATAATTATGTTATTTTTTCTTTCTGGACTTAATACGTAGATCAAAATATGCTTATACTTAGCATTTGTGGTGTTTAAAGTGCTGTGCACAGCATTCTGATGATAAAGTCACTAGAGACAAAAGTGCTCTTTTTTCTTCTTCACATTTTGTGTAATGCGTTTCATTCCAAAGTGTTTAACAAATCAGTATGTCACACATGCAGAAGTCATACTGCACCAGCAGCCCCACTACACAGCAGATCAGGTGCAGGAGTCATAAATTACTTCACCAAATGAATTAAGGGGAATTAAATTTAGTTAGGTCAGATTCTATTAATAGTACTATTAAGACCATTTAGGTTGTTTGATATGAATTAAATATGATTCATTTCCATCAAATAAAAATTTTAATTTTTGAGTATATGTTTGATGCTCTGTTTCACTTGTGTTTAGGTAATTTCCTTCAAAAAGCAAATTCTGTGCTTTGGTGCAATGTATTCAATGAAAGTAACAGAAACACACCCCCTGCATGCTGTAGACGTGTGCAATTTTACAGTTAGATAACTCTTTCGTATACCCACTTCTGTGCTCTTCTTTTTCATTTTAAATGATAGAATAGCAGGCTCGTCCTTTAGATCCTTGTGCGACATAGATGTTTAAAGCCATTTACCATTTTTAGCTATTCCAGATAGAGCATGACTGAAGCAGAAATGAGAAAAACACCTCTATTCTTACAAACAGTGGGATGTTTAATGACCAATCAGTCAGGAACCCAGTTCAATCCAAAGGACAACATCACCTAGAACAGTACCCACTGTCATCATAATGGTGCACTGGTCTGGAAATTCTGGTCAGAAGGAAGGCTGCAACCTACTGGTCGACCAACACTACTTACTGAAGTCGACCCAGCTTTGATTGGCCTCGGAGCTTTGATCAGATCTGGAAACAGGGTGGTATTGCTGTTGTACCTGCCATTAGTAATATGAACGTGTCATCTCCAGCCTTCGGACATTTTTACATTTCATTAAAAACTGAGCTCTACGACATGACGAAGCAGAGAAATGACAGATTAAATTTATACTATAAATAATGAAATTGAGTGATTGGAAATTAAATTTAAAGTTTTATAAAATAGCCTTAAGAACATAAGAGAGGTTATAAACAAGATATCACACAGACGTCTCTTAAAAGAAGTCAGTGTATTGGCTACAACAACAAGGTTCATAATTGTAACAGAGATCCGCCACAACCCTATGTATACTCAAGTGCCTCCTGCTCTCTTCTGCATTGCAAGTGTCTGCATGGAACATGGTTCCTCTAAAATGAGTTTCACGGTTGATTTTGAGGAAAATGAAGATTTTTAATATTAAAGACAAGTAAAAACTCTTATTCTTCTCTGTTTAAGACTAGGAGGTTCAGTTCTTTCTATCAGTGTAGGCTATTCTTTCAAGCTCACAATATTTAAACCACTCTTACTAAAGCACTGCACGACCTGAGCTTCCTTTGAATTGATTTGATGAAGGTCCATGAAAATGGCTGAAGTTCACTATATAAGTGTAGGCTTTGCTTTACCTTCTCATGTGGGATATTCAAGGGGTTTTTTTTTAGAAATGTTTTTCCAGATATACACAATACATTCAAGCATAGAATATACCAAAATACATTAAATGCAACTAATTCATATATACTGTATATAGAGCTTATAAGAACTAGAAAACAGCCTCCTGATCTTGAGCAGCACATACTGTTTTTAATATGTTTTTATTAAATAAAAATCTGCTCTGCTACTTGATTCAGCTTTGGTATTTTAATATATCTACACTAATGTTATACAGACAATAGCTAGATGCCTAACCTTTTAAAATGTGTACTTATACTGGCTTAAACACAGAAGTAAAACTATTTCTCTGAGGATAAAGTATTGAACTTGCATGCCAATAAACTGGTTCCACATCTGTTTTTTAAAGGCTGTTTTCATCCGAACCAACAGCTGGTTTCCAGATGTCTTATACTTATAGTGTTCAGAAGGTGGAGCCTGTGCTGTGTGTTTCATATTGATTGTGTGGTGGGGGCTTGAGACTTTAATAATCCTTCTCCGTTTCACAACAACTATTTATTTTACTTCCGGTCACAAATGCAAGTCAGATTTACTGGAAAAAGAAGGGAAAACAAAGTGCAGGAGATGATTTTCCCGCTGTCTATCCCGACCCACTGCTAGATTGGACAAGGTGTAACAATTCCTGCAAAAAAACATGTTGATAAGAACCAGACAGTCATGGTACTACCTGGCTGTGTCATCTTCTGGTCTAGCACTACTGGTGTATGCAATTAAACCACCATTACTACATTAAAGAGTTTTCAAAAAGTATAAAATAGACTTCAGTAATGAGCAGTTGAGAAAACAGAAAAGCTTCAAAGAGCAAATTCTATCTTTTGGTGCAAGGCATGTAACAAAAGAAATAGAAACGCACCAGCTGCATGCTGTAGAAGTGTGTAATTCTACAGTTAAGTGATTATGTAATATGCAGCTATTAGCTCTTTTGTATACCCACTTGCGTATTCTTCTTTTCTCATGACATACGATAGAATAACAGATTCAATTGATTGTGTTACTCATTTACTTTTCTTTCGCTTGAATGAATATGATGCTAAGTTGTAATCAGCATTACTCTGACTATCATTTTCATATGCATATTTGCAGCTATCCTCTGCTCTCAGTGCCAGTCCAGCCTTATTTCATATGGCATGTAAGGGAATCACAGACACTGTGCAGTGTCTCTCACCTTTCGAATACTCATCTGTTTCTTGAACAGGTCGCTGAACTCTTTCTTGCGCCGATCTGATTCCTCCTCCCCACTGCCCTCATACTCCTCGTCGTACCTGCCATAGACAAAGAGCCATAGTTATCATCACATGAGACTCTTGACAATGTATTAAAAGGCCTTTGCACAGTATATACAGACGAGTCAGTAATATGAACCAGGGCTTAGAACAGAAGGACCATAAGACAGGGAGACATTACAAGTTAACCAACTCGCAAGTCAAATACCAAATACCTCCCACCTTATTTTCCACACGTGTCCTCTGGAATGTGTTTCACTGTTGATTTTGAGTGTCTAATGGGTGGATTTTCAGAATTTGGGATACCTAAATAAAAACCCTCATAGACTTCTTTGTTCAAGACTATAGATTTCATTCTTTTATCCAGTCACTGTAACAAATTCCTTTAATTATGGAAATATACCAAATCCCTCTGCTATAGACCAGTCTTAGAGATGCAATATTTTTTTCATAAAGCTGCAAACAAAAATGTACACAATACTCACAATGTTTACTTAGAATAGTCTAATAAACTAGGAACATGCAAAGTCTGGTGTTCAGTTTGGACAAATGTACTCGCTGTTAAGGATGATCACTTTATCTATATTACACAGTTTCTGTATTAATCAACCCAGTTCATTTTCACTGATTTACTTAAAAATTAATACATTCTGGTTAATTTCACAAGCACATCGTCAAAGGACATGCCTTTGAATTATAAGACTGGAAGCACATTGTGAGCTGGACACCCTTGGAATGGAGCAATGGCTAGTTTTGTTCAGGATGTGACAGCTCCATAAACATTTGTGCTTGACTTGTCAGGTAAAAGTGAACACAAACCTCTTCAATGCCTTCTATTTAAGTACAAAGATATGCCCCAAATGTCTGACCACTGAACCAGAAAGTCTTGCTTATCCACAAACAACTTAAGAGATATGGCAATTCAAGAATTCTGTCAGAGGAACATCTCCCTGCGCTCTGTAGACCTCAGGAGGAAACCGAGTTTCCTGCTCACCTCTCGAAGCCATAGCCCCGGCGGCCCCCAGCATAGAGCTCGGCATCAAATCCAAAGGCTCCTTTAGGCTCCCTGGCCTGGATGCAGGTCTTGCTGTTGAAGGTCAGGCCGTGGGCCATTTCCTGCTGCCGTCTCACTGCTGCTGGGTCTCGGCAGAAGTCACAGGACTTGTTGCAGCTGGGCCTCTCGTCCCCGAAGTACTGTGCAATAGCAGCATGGCGACACCTGCAAACAGAAAGCACAGGTAATGCCAGGGACCTTAATCTTGCCACCTGATTGCAACACTGGCTTTTTGGGGTTTCGTTTTCACTGTAGTTCTCATGTACATAATTCACTGTTTCAGCTAAACAGAGGATCAGTAAAGACCAAGGTTTTTGGTTCGACTGCTTAAACTTTACCTTCAAAAAGCTACATTTTTATACTGCGTTTACAACAGTTACTCGCTCTAAGGTTATAAAAAAAAGGCTAAATGTCTGTATACAAAGTAAACCAGTATATATTTTACAATAATTAGCAAAAGGTTCTAATTAGTCTATTTGGGTCAAAAACCTCGCCAGTTTCTGCTTGCGCGGGACAGAACTTTGGCAAACACTGCTTAGCTTGCTTTAATTCTTTGCTTCAAAGGTAATTTTTAAGACCCACAAAAAGCAAAAACACAAGAGCCAAACACAAAGGCCTTTTTTTCAGCATGGAATAAACCTATTACTTGTTCCTTTGCAGCCTACACATGCTGATGCAGCTACCCACCTGAACTACTACAGCCTACACCTGCTGCAACCCACTATGCCTTCTTCCAAATCTTTTTCTTGATCTCTTTGTCATACCTTCTCTTCCTCCCTGGGCCACTTGCCCACTTTTCTCACTAAACCAGCATTCCGTCTCTTCACAGCGACCTGTTCCAAGACCAGGCTTTCTAACCACCTTCTATTCCTTTACAGATGTCATCGACATAATATCATCCCTAAAGGATTTCGCTGACACCAGAAGAAGGCTCCACAGCTGAAACCTTGTGTTTTCTTTCTTCTTTTTTTCAGCATGGAATAAACCTATTACTTGTTCCTTTGTACCATACAGTACTGCCCATTGAGCAGAGCCTCCTGCAACAAACCTATATCTTACTACTGTAACACACCTCTATAAGATAAGATCAATTTATTGGCCATATACAATTTCATATAGATATACATATACATATACAAATGTGACTCAGGTGTGTCAAAACCTACCTAACTCCATTTGAAATTCACATCAGTTTTGGAGGGTGCTGATTTTTTAAAATTTGCAAAGGCATGTGTCTTGATCATTGTATTAAAGTGATGTGGTCAGTGTGTTTTGTTGTGTTTTATTCTTATAGGCACTCACTCACTTTGACCACAAAAGCCAGAGGAGCAGTGACATTCAGTGTTTACTTACATCCCTCAGTAAGGATGTACTTGCTTAAAGTTCTTGATAAATGTGAATTCACTTTTTGTGAAAAGATTGATCATCTTACGTCTCACATTCACAAAGCTGCTCTAACATGTATGGAGTCAGTATCACAGGCACAGTTAATGTAAGACTTTACAGCCAACACTGCCAAACTGTCAGCCGAGAGTGCTTAAGGCATCAGAGTCCAACGGACTCTATGCAAAAATACAAATGTTCAAAACACGATCAGCGTAAGATACTGAACTGGAAAGTACACATTTCAAAAATGTTTTTACATGAACATAAGTTCCCAATCATACATTTCAAACTTTTTCAAAACAAAAATAAGTCAACACTACTGAAAATTATATGCACAATGAGGTGGCAAGTATTCAAATTTAAACTCAACTACTTTTAACCCTTTATGGCTCAGTGAAGTGTTTTTCTCCTTTGCCTACCACAACAACAATAGGGATGGCAATCTCTTTTTGAATGATACATTGTTCTTAATCACTGTATTGTCTTCTCTAACATCTACCTATTTAACATTTCCATTCCTTAGTCTTTTGAAATGTTCCCCTGTCTCCTAAGGGCCAAATGACAATGCACTTCAAACAGCAGAACTTCCCACAGATGCCCCATATCGCTTAGACTGAGATCGCCTCCCCTCCCACCCCCCGAAGTGTGTTAAAATGGATATCTTTCCCTGTTCCGATCTCAATGCGAAACTGGATAAAAACCTAGAACCACCTTAATACTGTATTATAATTGTGGGCTTCTGGAACTACTGTTCTAAAGCAGCTTTTGCATATTTCCTTCTTTGCATCCACACCCAGAGAGGTACAAATAACAGACAGGAATGTCTAAGTTTTAAAAAGACTGTGAACTTTAACACTGTTTGGAAGATAGAGATCGAGAACAGAGCGCTAGCAGGGGCACATCGTAGTGCAACCTGCAATGAAGGGGTGTTTCAAAGTCAGCAGGCTGCAAACCAGTCCACACGAAGCACCCCTCCTTCCCCCCTCCCTCCGCCTCGCTTTCTGTAAAAAGAAACTCAGTCTCCACGGTGACCAGAAACCAAAAAAAAAAAAGGAAGATCCGGCAGTCTAGAGCAGCTGGCTTCAAGAGACGGAGAGAGCGAGAGAACGAGAGTAAAAGACAGAGAGAGGCACAGCAATGCACGCGCAAGAGAAGCACACAGAGAAGATAAACAACAAGAGAAAAGCAAGCCACTTTCTAAGAGGTAAGAAACTATGCTCCTATGGAAAAATAGCTTGCACAGGGGCCCCAGAGTCCTCCTGAAAAGGGTCCTGCAGTCTCTGTGATAAGGTTTTGGACTTTTTAAAATACTGCTTAAAGCTTTGGACAAGTTGATGAAACTCTTAGCAAGATGACCAAGACTGTAAGAGAAATGCTTGTCTGGGAAATGTCTGTTATTGACGGTACTTCAGCGTGCTCGGGTTTAACTTTTAGTAAAGAGACACGAGCAAAAGAGTTAGTGTTTATAACAGCTGATTCCTGCTCTGCCAGGCTACAGTTAAGGAGGGTGCTGGATTTGTTCTTGCATTCCCTTACATTTCTCCTGCACAAGCATTATTATTTGAGTCAGATTTGGCATAATTTATATCTCTGTTTTTTTATCCAAAATACTTTGAGATAATCATATATCAAGACATTATATATATATATTGTGTTGCAGGAAGAGGACTTTGGTCTTTGCCATCAGTCTTTTCCATTTAACTCTTAATGGCTGTTTTCTTTTTTAACATTTGTTCTTCCACGCGGCAGTTGTTTAGACGCTAATATCAATAATGTTTTAAGCACATGTCAAAATGTAAAACTTGCATTTGTGTAAGACTGCAATTAATGGAGGAGGGAGAAGCCATACAAAACCAAGCAAAACATATAAAAACAGTCCAAAACCAATGTTTTAAAACAGGGATCAATTTAATCTGATAAGCCCTCCCATTGCATTTTCAAAACATTTTGTCCGTAATGTGCAAGTTCCCAAGGAATTAAAAAAAATAGAAGCAGAGGCACTATATTAAGAGTTTTGTTTTTGCAATTCCCAGCTCAGGAATGCCTGAAGTGCTCTGCGTGTTTCAGTGACTAACAAAAGGGTCATAGAGGAAAGGCGAGAGTCTTTCTTTCTGGGAGCTGTAGCAAGTTCCTACGGGTCTCAGTGCCCCGTCACTGAATGGAGTGACACTCAGCTGGGTGAGACCCTGGCACTGTCTGCTCCTCCACAGACACAATGGTCCAGCTTGCCAATTCACAGACAGGCATAAATCACAGCTCATCCTACCCAAAGACCACATTCAGTGTGCAAACAAGCACAAGGCTAAGCTGAAAAAGTTCTAACTGCTTGAGACCAATGCTGAGTCTATTGTTGTAGCACCTATTTATACTCCTTGTTGAGCACAAACTGCCAGCTCAACAGTTTGTTTTGCTGTCTATGTGTCTTATAGAGGTAAACTTCAAAGTATACTTATCCAATATGTGCCATACAATGCACATTCGAAACAAGTTTAAAAACTCCCTTTGGTTTGGCTCTGACCACAATACTTGATTATTTTAAAACTATTCTGCATGCATGGATGAATGCATTAAGAAACAAACCGATGTAGAAGATCACAGTGGCTGTTTGAGTGTATTCAGTGTAGCCTGTAAACAGATTTAATGGCAATGGTCCTTAGTACTTCCCTTGCTGTTCCCGGCAGAACAATTTAAACCACTCTCACATAACAGGGTTCCAGATTTCAGAGCTATTGAAACATTGTGTGCTTGTCTGTACTTCCAAAACACCAGTGCTGATAAAAATGCCACATGTACTGCAGACACAGCACAGACTATAACATGTCACTATTATTATATACTAATTACCAATGTATTTGGCTGACATTTTTATCCGCAGTGACTTACACTTGCACCCATTTTTCCATCTGGGTGTTTGAAATGGATCAATTTGGGTGAAATACCTTGCACAAGGATTTAACAGCCAGGTTTCACCTGGGATTTGAACCCAGAACCACCAAAGTCCAGCACCCTAACCACTGCTGTACCAAATGCATCACACACAGACATACAGCAATGGGAGCTATCCACAACTCTACGGGCTCCTGCTTAAAGTGCATTCTGTGCAGAAGTAAGCAAAATCAGTGCATCAAGAACCAGGCACAGTAATATAGATATTTAAAACAGTATACTGTATGTGATAGGAAGGAAGGATCTGTTATCAAACTGTGGTGATGCATTAGGATGGCAATAAAGAGTGCACTGATTATGGTTAATGTCTAATTGTCTGGAGGTAACACTGCTGGGGTAAAAATGTGATTAACTGTAGAACTTACAGTGATTTACTGTAATTCAGACTTGTGGATACTCAATGGTCTCATCAAGCTGTGAGAGGATCTCCGACTTTAAGCAGAAAATACAGTTAATCCAACTTCACCTCAAGCAGCTTTTTCTGAAATGTATTAGTTAAAGCTACTGGTACAGGATGTAGTAAAATTAAGAATGGCCACTGTGAGTTCCAATGGGTTTTTACTATGTATAGTTATACTTCTTCAATGTATGTTACAAACACATTTGTAAGGAATTGTCAATATGTAAATAAAATCAAGAACCTTGCAACTGAAAGATGTCAGAAGAGACGTGAAGACAATGGCACATGGGAACTTAACTGAAAAGCTGGTATAAGTAAAATAAGGGTTAAAGGTGCCCGTTTCTAAATTCTAAATAGTAAGGATGGGAGAAATGTTAAACCACCACTCTGTTGACTTAAAATTAAGTCCCATTGTATCAGATTCAGGAATGTG